TATCAGAATAACATCTACTTGCTGCCACCATGCAAGTATTATTCCTCAACATATCTTTGGAAGCAAGGACTTGCAAACTGTTTGAAAATAGGATGAATCAATTTCCAGATAGTTTGTAACATTGTGGTTAGGATAATCTCAATTCACTTGGCATCGCAGCTAGGCACTTTCCTTGCTTTTAATGACTTAGTAGCCTTCTTAGCCTATTAACGAGTATGAATTTTCGCCAATTTCCAGATAATTATAATCCACAGTTTGGTGCTTGCAACAAGTCTGCTTGTTTGATGATAGCTACATGCATATGTCAAAATCAACAGTGGAGAGGAAGAATGCTGCAAATAGTTAGAATGGGAGGATCGATGTAGTGACCCTGAACATTTCCTTACAAAATGGTCGACAGTTTTCATGAGTATATGATCTCGAGAGGCTGAAACTAAATGAAGATTATTGCAATTGCATCAATTTTCTTTTGTCTTAAGACTTCTGCTACTGTTATTCTATATTTTACCTGTCTTGTTTGTTATCACGTTCTGTAATTGAATTGTTTGGCAGGTATTTTGATACATATAAATCAAGCCGTCTTCATCAGCTGACATGGAATAAGAATAGACCTTATTTCTAGTGCATCAAAACTGCTTGGTGCATTTTTACTTCTTGTCATGAGAATTCATACATGTCGGCTCGGAAAAGATGAAGAAACTTTTTCTCCCAAATACTACACATTTTAGCTAATCCTATACATTCACTTTCCTAGTTTGCACTATGTGGTTCAGGAAAAGAGATTTGAGTTGAAATCTTGGGTTGTTTAGTGCTTGCAAGCTTCTTTTTCTTCCAAATTGATTTCATTAACTATGACAGAAGTTGTTTTTCATGAAGAATTAATGGTTTAGTAGTTTGTTGGATGCTCACAGCATAAATGTCAGAATATATACTATCTAGTATTCTAGAGAGATTAGTTTATTAGCTAATAAATAATGAAACTATAAGTCATGGCTTCAATATAATAATCAATACTTCAAATTGCTGATTTCTAATGCAACAAGCCAACAACCAATATTTTGTCTTTCACGTTTTTATTTCTCATCCATCTTAATAAAAATTTTGATTCTCTTTTACATTTTGGTAGCATTAATCTAATTTTCAATCCCCCGATTGCTTCACTTTAATTCTTCCTCATCACTTTAATTCTTCTTCATTAGGCTCCAACCCACCAATTGTTGATTTGTTCAATGTAGACATCTTTGAAATCTCTTTATTTGCACATTTTAAGGTAGTATTTATTGTTCAAATATCTTTTAGAGATTTGTTTAATAGAAATTTATGATTTTTTTTTTCATATTTGTATAATATATGAAAATTTATATAACATGTGGATACAGAAAATCTTCATGTGAATATAGAAATGTAGAATATAATGCAATCAAACTTTTTTAAGTTTTGGAAACGGATAGTTAAAATAACATTAATAAAATTAAAAAATTTAATCCCGACCAGAAAACGAACTCATATAACTTTGAATTGAAACCAGATTGGTTTGGATCTTTAATCTTTGTGTTTGAATATAGTTGATCAGCTCTGCTTCTTCATTTTATTTCATTTATGTTGTTAGTCATTGAGGAGGATAGTGTTTAATTGAATCAATTACTTGAATTTTTAATTTACAATATTTAATTCTATAATGTATCATACAGTTGTCACTTATCATAATCATGCAGCTGTTACTAATTCATAGTATATACTTTAATCATAAGTAATGATTAGTATATTATTATATCTTTTTGCTCGTATGTTCTATCTCTATATATAGTGGCATGCTTTCTAAGAGCTAAATTAAGAACTACCCAAGCAACTAACAACCAGCGGCAATGGCGACAGTTGAAGAGATTAGAATGGCAACAGTTGAAGAGATCAGAAAAGCCCAGCGGGCCGAGGGTGTAGCCACCATCCTAGCAATTGGCACTGCCACGCCATCCAACTGCATCTTCCAATCTGACTATCCTGACTTTTACTTTGGAGTCACCAACAACAACCACACGACAGAGCTCAAACACAAATTCAAGCAAATTTGTACTAATATTTAGATACATAAATTGGTCTTCAATGCATGCAAAAAATTTAGTAGTCTCATTTGCTATTCTTCAATTGTTGATTTAATTAAGTAATGGTTGTGTGGTTTGCCTCTGATAAATGATTCCACAGGTGACAAATCAATGATCAAGAAACGTTACATGTACGCGACAGAAGAAGTGTTGAAGGAAAATCCAAGCTTGTGTGCCTACATGGCTACATCGCTAGACGCACGTCAAAACATCGCCGTGGTAGAAGTACCTAAGCTAGGCAAAGAAGCCGCAACAAAGGCTATCGAAGAATGGGGACAGCCCAAATCCAAGATCACCCACCTCGTTTTTGGCACCTGCTCAAGTGTAGACATGCCTGGTGCTGACTACCGACTTACCAAGCTCCTTGGTCTAAGTCCTTCGGTCAAAAGGGCCATCGTTTATCACAACGGTTGCTTTGCTGGTGGCAAAGCGCTCCGTCTCGCCAAGGACTTAGCTGAGAACAACAAGGGTGCACGCGTTCTTGTTGTCTGCTCCGAAGTCTTATCTCTCTTTTTCCATGGGGTGTCTGATCAAATCGAAGCGGACTACCTGGTGGCATCGGCTATTTTCGGTGATGGCGCTGGAGCTGCAATCGTAGGAGCTGATCCTGATACCCTCATTGAACGTCCATTATTCCAACTCGTTTCGTCTTCTCAGACAATTCTACCTAATTCAGAGGGTACCATCGAGGGACATTTACGTGAAGTTGGATTAATTTTACGCTTATCTAAGCAAGTACCAACGTTGATCACAAACAATATAGAGAAGAACATTATTGAAGCGTTTAACCCAATTGGCTCGATCAGCAACTGGGACTCAATCTTCTATGTTGCTCACCCCGGTGCGCCGGCCATTCTTAACCAATTGGAAAGGAACCTAAATCTCAACAAACACAAACTCAGGGCATCTCGCCATGTGCTGAGTGAGTATGGCAACATGTCAAGTGCAGCTGTGTTCTTTGTGTTGGATGAGATGAGAAACAAGTCTGTGGAGGAAGGGAAATCAACCACGGGTGAAGGGTTAGAGTGGGGTGTTCTTTTGGCGTATGGGCCTGGTATAACTACGGAGACTATTGTGCTGCATAGTGTCCCCATAAAACCATCTCATTGACTCGACTCGAGAGGAAGAAAACAGAACACTCCCGCTCAGTGTTGTGTTTAGTTTCTGAAATGGAATAAAAGGAGAATGAAATAATTATTTTCTAATGATAGAATAAGAAGACAATAATTATTATGTAATTTGATTTTTGATAATGGAATAAGATATGAATTGTCATTATTAATTATTTTAAATTGGAATTAATAATAATAATTTTAAAAAAAATTAAAGAATAAGTGATAAATGACAAAAACACTTTTTATTATAATATTTAATTTTAATTTTAAATTATATTTCTTATTTTAATAATTTATTTAAAACATTACTAAATTTTTATTTAAAATTTTAATATGATTATTTATTTTAACTTATAGAATAGAATAATTTATAATTAAAATATTAATATCATTATTTTATATTTAAAATATTAAAAATTTATAACTAAAATTTTAATTAAATTTTAAATAAACTAAATTCTAATAAATATTTTTATATTTAATTAAATTTCTAAGACTTCGTGATTGGTTGGTTAGTTAGTTAAATTAATAGTAACATTGTAAATATGTCAGTGGCATAAGTGTAAAATAAAGCAAAACTCTTACCCTTTCCGCAAACAGAAAATGAAGAATTATTTTTTCAAAACTCTCTCTGTTGCTCTTCCTGCTTATACTTCATTTCATTCGATCATTTCTAACTGTAGACGCTATTTTTTTTATCAATAATTAATATTTATATATGTGCTTTTATTTCTTATTTTACTATGTTATTTTATTTTATTGTTAATCAAATTCAATTAAACATCTAATGGGCTTTAGAAACTCCAGACTTTGTCTTGGTTTTAGTCAAAAGGGTGTTGGACTTAATAAACAGGCCCAGTGTCTGGGCTTGTTAATAAAAACAAGCCCAAATGGTTAAAGTTGAAATAAAACAAATCAAATTAAATAAACAAGATTAAAGTCAATAACCTAAGATCAAAATGATCTAAACAAAAGAACATTCTAAAAAATGAAAAAAATTAAAAAATTAAAAAAGAACCAAAAAAAAAAAAGAGCAAAAGAAAGAGCCACAGGGTGCATCTGCACTTTGCCAAACACGGTGATAGGCTATAGGTTAGATAGCAATGTAAGGGGTGGCAAAATGTTGAAGGTTTGACTAGAGTATGGTTTGAGATAGATTTGAGAATTCGTATTTTTTTATTTTAAATGTGTCAGATACAATCAAACATGAAATACGTATTTTTTTATTTTTGTGAATAAAAATCAAAATATATAACTTCGTCACCCCTAAACAAATCAAAAGATTTTATTTAGAGTTGGGATAAGGAACCTAAGCTAAATTTTGAATACTTAAATTCAATCTCTTCTAAGCCCAAATTTTGAAATTATTTTTCTTTTCTTTTCTTTTCTCTTTTTTTCCTCAACTCAAATTTTGAAATTATGTTTTTTTTTTTTGCTTTAGCTCAAATTTTGGAATTATTTTTCTTTTCCTTTGTTTCCTTTTTTTCCTTAGCTCATCTTTTTTCTTTTTTTTTCCTTAACTTATCTGTTGATCCCAAAGATGGATTGAAGTTACTTAAAGATTGATGACATTTGCAAGCTTATTCAAAAATTCTATCTTGATGAGTTCACTTATCATGAAAAATTGCATATGAAATATGAATTATAGCATTTTGAACTTGATATTTGGCGCGATTTAGGTTTACAAAGTGTTTCAATTCTTTCAAAGCTATGCCAATTACTGTTAAAGGTAGAAAAATCAATTGTATATATTCTCTTAGATTGTTTAATTGCATATGAAATATGAATTGGAATATTTTGAACTTTATATTAGACAAGATCCATATTTGCAAAGTGTTTCAACTCTCTTAAAGCTATACCAGTCAATGTCAAAGACAAAAAAGATCAATCAATTATATATCCTTTCCTAAATCATTTGGCTTGACTTATCTTAACTCTTTTTTTCTTTTTTTTTCTCATTCTTTCCTTAGCTCAAATTTTAGCATCATTTTTCGTTTATGTTTTTTCCTTAGCTCATATTTTGGAATTATTTTTTTTTCCTTAGCTCAAATTTTGGAATTATTTTTCCTTTCTTTTGGTTCCCTTTTTTCCTTATCTCGTCTTTTCTCTTTCTTTTTTTCCTTTTTTTTCCTTAACTCATCTTTTGATCATAAAGATAGATTTAATTATTCAAGATTGATGACATCTGTAAGCTTACTCAAAAGTTCTATCTTGATGACTTCACTCATCATGAAAAATTACAAATGAAATATGAATTGTAACATTTTGAACTTGATATTAGGCAAGTTTAAAAAGTGTTTCAACTCTTTCAGAACTATGCCAATTAATGTTAAAAGTAGAAAAATCGATTGTATATCTTCTCCCAGATCGTTTAATTGTATATGAAATATGGATTGGAGCATTTTGAACTTGATATTAGGCAAGATCTATGTTTGCAAAGTGTTTCAACTCTCTCAAACCTATGCCAATTAATGTCAAAAACAGAAAAATCAATTGTATATTTTTCCTATATGGTTTGGTTCAGCTTATCTTAACTCTTCCAATTTTCATAGCAATTACAAAACATGCATTTTTAATTAGAAAAATTGTAAAGACAAGGTTTCGTAATAAGATGGAAGATGATTTTCTTGCTAGTTTACTTATCTTTTACATTGAGAGAGAGTTTGTTAAGACCTTTGACACGGATTTAGTCATAGATGAATTTGAACGTATAAAAACACAACAAGCACAACTTACAATTTCTAGTGTGAAATTCTAACGTTTCTATTTATATTGGTGAATTTGAAAATTTATATTTAAATTGTTGATAAAATTTTATGTTATAACTTAATTTTATTTAAAAAATGATTAATTTTTTACTCCAAATCGAATCATTGATTTGATCCATGACCTTCTATGATTACTCACCATGTCTCATACGAAATCCTCGATCTACTATTGTTTAGACAAATAATAGAACTACTAATGAACTCTCACTAATTCTTTGATAACTATAATTTGTATACCCTCTTATTTGGCAAGTAATGTTGAGAAAAAAAGATAATATGATGATAGCTACAGCCTACGAATAAAGTGATTGTCAACAAAGGCCCATCACCAATGTATGGTCAAGGGGTTGGTTTGTTACCCAAGACGCGCATTTGGTCTAGCCCATAAAGAGGCAATTCTCTTTGCCTAGCTAAATACGTAAGATAAAACACATGGGAGATATATTAGCTAGTGAACAACATCATTGTGTTCTGTTTTATTATATTAGCAAAGCAATGTCCTTTTCTTGAATTATGGCTAAATTATAAAGATTTTTATGTAATTACCAAATTATAAATTACCAATGAAGGAGTAGACAGTTGCAAAAAATAGTTACAGAGAATTTTAAATCTAGAAAATTCCAAAGAATCTATTTATATTTAATTAAATTTCTATTACTTCATGATCGAAGCAACTAGGGAAAAACAGAGAGAAAAGCAAATGGAGTAGGTACACCCACCAAGCTTAAAATTTCACCATTAAAAAAATGTTATTTAAATTTTATCCTAACATCTTATGCCAACATGTTAATAAAAATACTAAATGCATAGTTTAGTATCTATGCTTTATTTTGAGTCCAAAGTTTACAAGAAAGAGAAATAATCTCTCTTATTGTATTGTAAAATTTTACTTAATGCTCTTTCTTTTTTTTTTTTCACTTTCATAAAAATTAAGATTAAAGTCTTGAGTGTAATATTTTTTTACATTAAAATTTTATACATAATTATAAATTTATTAGTAATCAAGTAAAATAATCACACGGAGCCCATAGAAAATCTTAATTATTACTAAATGAAGGAGCAGACAGCTGGAGAACATAACTATGCGGACCCATAAATAATTTTAAAGTCAACAAATTCCAAAGATTCTTTTTATAATTTGACTACTTTTTGTTTGTATGTAATTATAAATTATCACTAATGAATGAGTAGACAGCTGGAAAACACTCACAAAAAATTTTAAATTAAGTAAATTCCACAGAATTTTTTTATATTTAATTAAATTTCTAGCATTTCATGATTGGAGCAACTAGATGAAAAACAAAGGAATACAAAATGGGAGTAGGTATGATATTAAACATATAAAAAAATACATTAATAATAATGGTGTCATTTATATATGTGACTGAATAAAATTATAAATAGTATCTCTCTCACTCTTTGGGCTTAAGAATGAAAAAAAAAATAATTTTTTAAATTTAAATAAATTACTTATTTATTTTATGTGTCTTAACTTTTCTCTTATTTTCTATTTACTTTTTAAATTGCTAATTAACATATTGAGTTATTGGATTATACTATTAAGATATAATATATTATGATAGGTTCTTAAGTTGGATTGTTAAGATATAATATGTTATGATAGGTTGAGATTTATATTAAAATTTAATAGGTTGGGATTAGTAGACTCACTTTTATTTTTTTGTAAATTTGATAGGCTTAAGATATTAGTTTAGAGTTTATTTTTTGAACTTAACTAGCAACATGCTAACCATAATGACTTTAATTTTATCAAATAGTTTGAAGAATAATATTAATTATTAAATAAAAAATTATTTTGAGAGCCATTAAAAATAAATAGAATAAATAAAATTGTATTGAAAGAAATATAATTAATTCATTCTATCAATTTATATGTA